CGGCTAATTTTTATTTTTTTTTGTATTTTTAGTAGAGATGGGGTTTCACCATGTTAGCCAGGATGGTCTCAATCTCCTGACCTTGTGATCCGCCCACCTCGGCCTCCCAAAGTGCTGGGATTACAGGCGTGAGCCACAGCACCCGGCTGTTTTTATTTATTTTTATTTTATTTTTTTGAGACAGAGTTTTGCTCGTGTTGCCCAGGCTGGAATGCAATGGCGTGATCTCGGCTCACTGCAACCTCTGCCTTCCAGGTTCCAGTGATTCTCCTGTCTCAGCCTCCCTAGTAGCTGGAACTACAGGCACGCACCACCACGCCTGGCTAAATTTTTATGTTTTTTTTTGGTAGAGATGGGGTTTCACCATGTTGCCCAGGCTGGTCTCAAATTCCTGGACTCAAGTGATCCACCCACGTCAGTCTCCCAAAGTGCTAGGTTTACAGGCGTGAGCTACCGCGCCTGGCCTTTTTTTTTTTTTTTTTCTTCAGTAAGAGACTAGAGTTTTGCTATGTTGCCCAGGCTGTCCTCGAACTCCTGGCCTCAAGCGATCCTCCCGCCTCAGCCCTGCAAAGTGCTAGGATTATAGGCGTGAGCCACCGCGCCCGGCCTGCTTTTGCATCTCACAGCTGCTTCTCCCTCTTTCTGTCCCCTGCTCTTGGATGTGGTGTGACAGGTGGTGACCGTCCCTTCTGTTCTTCCTGCAGGAGGCTATGATGGTCACACGTTCCTGGACAGTGTGGAGTGTTACGACCCAGATACAGACACCTGGAGCGAGGTGACCCGAATGACATCGGGCCGAAGCGGAGTGGGCGTGGCTGTCACCATGGAGCCCTGCCGGAAGCAGATCGACCAGCAGAACTGTACCTGTTGAGGCACTTTTGTTTCTTGGGCGAAAATACAGTCCAATGGGGAGTATCATTGTTTTTGTACAAAAACCAGGACTAAAAGAAAAAAGACAGCACTGCAAATAACCCATCTTCCGGGAAGGGAGGCCGCGATGCCTCAGTGTTAAAATGACATCTCAAAAAGAAGTCCAAAGCGGGAATCATGTGCCTCTCAGCGGAGCCCCAGGAGTGTCCAAGACAGCCTGGCTGGGAAAGGGGCTGTGGAAAGAGCAGGCTTCCAGGAGAGAGGCCCCCAAACCCTCTGGCCCGGTAGTAGGCCTGGGTCCCACCCACCCAGCCAGCCACGCCGGCAGCCCTCACCTTGTGATTTGTTCTTGGATACCTGGGAGGGGGCCAATGGGGGCCTCAGGCGGAGGCCCCCTCTGGAAATGTGGTTCCCAGGGATGGGCCTGTACATAGAAGCCACCGGATGGCACTTCCCCACCGGATGGACAGTTATTTTGTTGATAAGTAACCCTGTAATTTTCCAAGGAAAATAAAGAACAGACTAACTAGTGTCTTTCACCCTGGCTCTGGGCTGGAGGTCTGAAACCCGGGGCCAGAAAGGGCGCTTCTCCTGAAACACACTCCTCTTTGACTTAGGACTGGTATTTGAAACCGTTTTGTAATCTTTGCCCATCGCATTTTGATATGTAGGGCATCTTTCTCCCCATAGGCAAGCCACACAGCTGTCCTTCAGTTTCAGCTGCCTTGGAAGACAAGGAGCTAATTCCTAGTCACATCTCCCAGGGCTCCCCAAGCTCATTTTTTTTTTCTTTTATTTTGAGACAGAGTTTTGCTCTTGTTGCGCAGGCTGGAGTGCAATAGCGTGATCTCAGCTTACAGCAACCTCTGCCTCCTGGGTTCAAGTGATTCTCCTGCCTCAATCTCCCGAGTAGCTGGGATTACAGGCGTGTGCCACCACACCTGGCTAATTTTGT